ATTCTTAAAAAGAGCTGTTTACTGCTTAATTAGACTAACAAAAGGTGGTTTTTCCCAGGGATTTGGTAAGACCAGCACGCATGTCAAACATAAGCAGCCCTCTTTAGGTGACTGTGATATGTCCTGAAGTTTCTCTGGTGGGGATGCCGACAGTGGGAAAGCTATGCATGTGTGTGTGGGGCAGGGTCATGTGGGAAATCTCTGTACCCTCCTCTTAATTTTGCTGTGAACCTTAAAACCACTCTTTAATTAAAAACAAAACAAAACCTCTAACAGCTACAGTTAATTCTGGGCTCCCAGAAACTGGAACTAGAAAGTAAAGTCATTTCCATAAAATCTACTTTATCCAAAAAAAAAAAAAAGAAGAAGAAAGGTCATTTGTAATGTTAACCCAGTATTTGGGAATTACCCCATTCATTTGTAAAAGTATGTTACATGAATGTTAAGTCAACAACGGGATCTGCCCTTTAGAAAAGTCTTTTAGGAAATTCAAGTGTATAACCCTACCATAGCAAAAGCAGAAATAGTCCTCAACTGTTTTTCTAAGTGTTTCAATCTCTACAGCATCTACATTCATCCGATTCGCCTGGGTTGTTGATTTCATTTTATGCATCTCTGCAGCCTTCTCTTCTTCTTCAACACCTGTAAAATATTAATGATATATAAGGTCTATATCCATTATCTCAAGATTTGATTTTTCACTAAGAATATTTTTTCCTAATACTAACATTTATGATTTGACAGAAAGGAAAGGGAGGAGGAGGAACTTTAAAAATAAACACCTAGGGCTTCCCTGGTGGTGCAATGGTTGAGGGTCTGCCTGCCGATGCAGGGGACATGGGTTCGAGCACCGGTCCGGGAAGATCCCACATGCCGCAGAGCGGCTGGGCCCGTGAGCCGTGGCTGCTAAGCCTGCGCGTCCGGAGCCTGTGCTCCACGACGGGAGAGGCCACGGCAGTGAGAGGCCCGCGTACCGCAAAAAAAAAAAATAAATAAATAATAAAGTAAAATACGACGACTAAAATGATTTGTTTCTCCTTACTTTTTATTAGAAAATTTTTAATTACCTAAGTGATTTACATTACGTTATTTCTACTGGACAGTGCTTTTCAAAACTCTGAAAGGGAGCTTAGAATCTTCTTCCAAGAATTTCTAAAACTGACTCATAGGGACTTCCCTGGTGGTGCAGTGGTTAAGAATCCGCCTACCAATGCAGGGGACACGAGTTTGAGCCCTGGTCCGGGATGCCATGAGCCCACATGCCATGGAGCAACTAAGCCCGTGTGCCACAACTACAGAGCCTGCGCTCTAGAGCCCGCGAGCCACAACTACTGAGCCCATGTGCCACAACTACTGAAGCCTGCACGCCTAGAGCCCATGCTCCACAAGAGAAGCCACTGCAACGAGAAGCCCGCGCACTGCAACGAAGAGTAGCCCCCCTGCTCACCACAACTAGAGAAAAAAGCCTGCGTGCAGCAACAAAGACCCAACGCAGCCAAAAATAAATTAAAAAAAAAAACTGACTTATACACCTATTGATTTAGTTTCAGAAGACAACTACTGATCCTTGTCTGCAGAATAATTTATAGAAACAAATATTAGGAACTTAAGAATTATATCCAAAGATTATTCTCTGTGGCATCAAATTATTGGTAACAAAAAAAAGTATGAATACTAATAGGCAGGGACTACAATTTGCAACTGAGGACAATTCCCCTAATGCTTAGTTCTAACCACTGAAGAACCACATTTGCAAGACAGTATAGGGAATGGAAATGTAAACACAGCTGCCAGTTGGATTACAGTATTCATAGGACAGATGGCAACTGATATACACATAATCAAAGCAACATTATTAATATAAATTTAAATACATAAACATAATCAAAGTCTTAAAAATTCTCAAAATGATAAGAAATAATGGAAAAAAATTTAAACAGAATGCTACCATAAAGCTTAAAAGATTATAGCGAGGGGGGGGAGGAGGAGGGATGTTTTACAGTGGAGGGGATATGTTTTTTAAAAATACAATTGAAAAAAACATACAATTGAGAATTGAAATTAATGAATTAAGTAAACTTTTTATTCACCCATTATCTGCTTGTTGTATCATGAATTGGATCTAACTGGATAATGGAAATTTAAGTTTGGATCTTAAAGACATACATATTATATGCTGATAGACATGTTTAAGAAAATGCTGTATCACTGAGTTAACATAAAACCTACGGAGAGCGTTAGGTTAAACACAGATACGAAAACTGTCACACTGCGAGAAGTCCTAGGTATTAACACCCTACAGTAAATTTCTCTACTGCATTTGTTCTGGTATCAAATAAGTACACTACCTGGATGAACTCCTGATGGAGGATCACAAAACTGACTGAGGACGGAGGATAAGATGATTCCACTGAGGGAGTCAAGAAGACCTGTTTAACATTGCTTCATGCTTACTCAAATTTAAAGCACAGAGAAAAACTTTTTTTTTCCCAATGCACCGAACATCTATCAGGGAAAGACCTGCTTATCTGAATAAGAAATCTTAATAAGTTTGACATTTCTCTACCTTCTACTAACATGTTTCACTAAACCAGAGTAATGTCAAGCAAGGAGCACAGTACAATAAACATTTACCATTTTTCTTAAGCTCTTCAGTATTTCCCCTAATATGTTACCGTGTCAGTGATTCACTTTGAGCATTCTGAAATGTCTCCATGGACTTCAGAAAGTCTTTTTTGTGTATAAATCTCATTCAGCTTTAGAAGAAAATACAATGTGCTATCCATAAATATTTAGATTTAATATTTATGAAATACCAAAGATAAAAATACAATACTTACAGTATTTTACGAAATCTTTCTGAAAATCCTTTCTGGTGTTGACAAAAGCACGTCCTCTCTCTGTTCCAACAACAAATACGTCTGTTTCATACACTGCGATGCAGGCCACTTCCGCCTTGGACTTGGCCAGTTCTTTACACTGAAATACACAAATAGGAAATCTTATGTTATATACAGATGTTTAAAAGCACTGTTTCTGCTGGATGAATAAAAAATCTTATCACTTGACCTGCCTTAATACCTAATGTGGATGAGGTGAAGTTCCTAGTTTGGGCCTTAAGTTATCATATACACAACAGAGTCCCCATTTTTTTAAAGGGACCTCTCTTTCTAACAGTTTACAACCCTGATTTTATTTTTTGATATTTATTTATTTATTTATTTTGGCTGCACCGGGTCTTAGTCGCGGCACGCAGGATCTTCGTTGCAGCATCTGGGATCCTTTCGTTGTGGCATGAGGGCTTTTAGTTGTGGTTATGTGGGGCTCCTTAGTTGTGGCATGCGTGCTGGATCTAGTTCCCTGACCAGGGATTGAACCCAGGCCACCTGCATTGGGAGCATGGAGTCTTACCCACTGGATGACCAGGGAAGTCCCAACAACCCTGATATTAAACAGAAGAAATCACACAATTTATAAGAAAAAAGGCAGAAATCCTTTGTAATCTGTTATAGGTCAAATACCCAAGAAACAGACTAAGAGTTGCACACAGGCTTACTGGCGAGCACTCCCAATAACAACAGCTGTGCGCTGTGAGGGGGCAGGATTCTGCAAAGGGGGAATCAACAGCTGCCACAGATGCACCGCAGAAATTCTGGAGCTGGGACGGGCCTCCCCAAGGAAGGGGAAAGACCCTGGGCAAGGGAGCATCTGACACTCACAGAAACTGGGGGATTAGTGCCATCAGTCCTGAATGGGGGAGGTGGGGTCTGGAAGCCACACTACAACTTCCATCACATAATCCCACCTCCAGAAGTATCTCCATATGTATACACCAGGAATTCCATTTAGATGAGTATACTTTTACTGAGTATATTCCTATGAGATTAAACATTCTTTAAACTCTTAATAGAGTATATACCATTCCATTTTATGGATAAACAATAATTCATTTAGTGCAAACCCTAATTATCACTCCTAAGAATAACAATGAAATACTAATCTGCGAACAACGTGTATCTTGAGTGACTTTCTCAGAACAGTCAAGAGACACGAAACAACATAGCCAAGAAACTCTGACTCTGAAAGTAAATACTTTTAAGGTTCTCAAAACCTACTAAAAATTGCTTTCTAAGAAGGTTCTATCAGTTGATACTCCCATCTGCACCTCTAGAAGAGCTAACTCACAATATCCTAGCAAATGTTATCGTGCAACTTTCCCAGAACCATTTAAAAAGGGTACTTTAGGAATTCCCCGGTGGCGCAGTAGTTAAGAATCCACCTGCCAGTGCAGGGGACACAGATTCGAGCCCTGGTCAGGGAAGATCCCACAAGCCGCGGAGCAACTAAGCCCACGCACCACAACTACTGAGCCTGCGCTCTAGAGCCTGCGAGCCACAACTACTGAGCCCGCGTGCCACAACTACTGAAACCCGCGTGCCTAGAGCCCATGCTCTGCAACAAGAGAAGCCAATGCAATAAGAAGCCCGCGCACTGCAACGAAGAGTAGCCCCCGCTCGCCACGACTAGAGAAAACCTGTGTGCAGCAACAAAGACCCAACGCAGCCATAAACAAAAATAAATAAATTAGAGTATTGTACCTTGGACAGTTTTTTGTAAATTAGGCTAACTTTAGCTTATTTTTCTACTATGTTAAGTGTTTCTCTATTAATGCATAACAGTGCCTCACTGATTTTGGCATAGAATTATGGCAATTCTATTCTAATTATGGAATTAAATACATAATTATACATATTTTCTTCTGGTCTTTTTAGTTTATCTTAATATGACAATTTAAAAAATTTTTTTACTCATCTAGAGTTTAACTTGCACAATAAAGACTTTTTCCCCCCAAAGAACCTATGTTCTCAGCATCATTTGTTGAAAACTACAGCTTCCTCCTTTTGTTTTTTTAATTTATTTATTTTATTTATTTATTTTTGGCTGAGTTGGGTCTTGGTTGCTGTGTGCGGGCTTTCTCTAGCTGCGGTGAGCGGGGGCTACTCTTCATTGCGGTGCATGGGCTTCTCATTGCAGTGGCTTCTCTTGTTGCGGAGCACGGGCTCTAGGCACACGGGCCTCAGTAGTTGTGGCTCGTGGGCTCTAGAGCGCAGGCTCAGTAGTTGTGGCGCACAGGCTTAGTTGCTCCGCGGCATGTGGGATCTTCCCGGACCAGGGCTCAAACCCGTGTCCCCTGCATTGGAAGGTAGATTCTTAACCACTGCGCCACCAGGGAAGCCCCGTCCATTTGTTTTTGATTTGTACAATTACCACCCTCTAATTTCTTTTTTTCTTTTTTTCTTTTTTTTTTTGGCGGTACACGGGCCTCTCACTGTTGTGGCCTCTCCCGTTGTGGAGCACAGGCTCCGGACATGCAGGCCCAGTGGCCATGGCTCACGGGCCCAGCCGCTCCGCGGCACGTGGGATCTTCCCAGACCGGGGCACGAACCCGCGTCCCCTGCATCGGCAGGCGGACTCTCAACCACTGCGCCACCAGGGAAGCCCCTAATTTCTTAAATGGAAATTACTTGAATAATATCGCTTAAAAACAGTATCTCAAATAAATAATTTTATACCTACTGTCACGATCAGAAATCTTTTGAACTGTAATAAAGCCACAGTAGAAAACTAGTGACCGAGGTGAGCCAACAATCGTTCCCAGCACGGCGAACAATGCTATACTATAATTTTGTTATATGACGTTTCTATGATATGTTACATGGTACATATCTATGAGATGTACCATGGCTGCTCACTTGTAAGGAACTATTATTTACTTACCTTGTGATAAATGAGGGTGCATTCTTGCTGCACTATCCACACTCTTAGTTGGACAACCCTGTCTCCAAAGGCAGTATTTACGAAACAGTAAAGCAAGATTCATGTACTGTCTGAGGATTAGATCAAAGAAATCTATGGGCCACAGGAAGAAGGACGAAGCTGACCTGTACACCTATAAATTATACATCACAGTATACAACTGGGAACAGGAGGAGAGATCCTCTTACTTCTGCCAAAGATGAGAAAACTATAAAGATATTCTAAGGAAGGGAATGGGTCCTATGTGACCCTATTTCATTCTACATAGAGAGTAGTATTAAAGAAAATTATTTAATATCAACAGAATAGGATTTAATCTCTACATTATTTAACGTTACAGCCACAAATTTTGGCTAACTTTATGACCAAAAGCAAGAAATAAGTGACAGTCAGAAAGTTATAGAAGGAAAAAAAAAAAAAAAAAAGTAAGTAATAGTAGGGACGTCCCTGGTGGTCCAGTGGTTAAGACTCCATGCTCCCAATGCAGAGGGCCTGGGTTCGATCCCTGGTCGGGGAACTAGATCCCACATGCCGCAACTAAGAGCCCACATGATGAAACTAAGACTTGGTGCAGCCAAATAAATAAATACTTAAAAAAAAAAAAAGTATTAGTATATACAGCCACTAACCATTCTAAAATTTCTTTCTTTAAGGAGATAACTTTTTTAATTCTTATATAGCAGAAAGAAGAAAAAAAATGCCCTAACAGAAAAACAAAAAAGATTCCACGAACTATGTCATATTGAGAACTGTGAGGTTAAATGCTATATGATACTAGTCAATGCTTAAGACAGGAAATACACAGCATCCTCCTACTTAGAATATATAATTTCACTGTGTCAGAAAATAATTAAGTCTGATGTTTCTTAAATCTATGAGTTCAAATACATATTCAGAAAAACATAAGTCAACTGAATTACTACCATGATAGTAATATAAAAGTACAGCAGAAGAATACTACTTAATATTTTGCAATTATGTGTACAAGTTTTTTTAAAAAAATAAACAGTTAATACACTACATATTGGGTAGAAGGTCACAGAATTCAGACAATTGTGAAGCATAGCACAATAAAATAAAGAATAGATGTAAAATAGTGAATATGCTCTTATGGCCCAAAATTGTGGTAATGTTCTTTACATAGATAAAATAGGACACCAGCACCACACTATAACATACAAACTCATTCTGAGTAACTTCAAATATTACACTTAAATTCAAAGTTAATGCTTACAAAACAAAGGATTGCCTAAGATACTGGGAGGTAAAAAATTGAAATTAAATGTAAAAAATTACACATTCGGATAAGTTAAGAACATTCTAAAACATGCAATAAAATGTGAAAGGCTTAAATCCATAACTATTACTCAAGCAAAAACAGTATGTATTTATTAAAAATAATAGACACGGTGTACGTTTTCCAAAAACAAATCAATCTCATTCACAAGCCCAATCTTATCCAACTATGGAAAACTTTATAGAACTGCAAAGCCATCTCACCATGGACTCAAGAGCAGACATAAGGAATGTCACCACCATCCTGCTCTCCGAGGACTCCTCATCTTCGACGGGCAGGGTAGACATTGCTACTTGGGCCATGATCCCTAGGAAAGAGAAGTATTAGGAAAGTGAGTGGTAGAAATTCAGTGCCTTGCTCAACATACGTTTAGAGCTGTGAGGTTCCTCCATAAATTGCCTAATTTACAGTTTTCTTGCTTAAGAGAAAAAATAAGACTTAAAAACCAAGTAATCTATCAATATTTGCCCCAAAATCCTGTTATCCTATAAGATAGAGAATCTAACCCCCAACTTTCCATCTAGTTTTAGTTCCATAAAACTAGGTCAGCATAACCTCCAAAAAAAAATTTAGGTGTCACCCAGAACCAGTTAAAAAATTTCCCAATGAGGAAGAGGTGATGCACTTCACAGTCCAGTGGTAGTTTATCACAGTTCCACATAGGAAATAGACACAACCTCCCCTTTCTCCCATGCGCACACTGATTACTCAAGAGTGGGTTAAGTAGACTGAGGTTGGGTGAAGAGAATTCCTCCTATCTTATTAAGAAGGAAATAGGCTGCAGGACAAATAAGAGATAAGATTCCTTTATAATACATTCTCTTTAGAAAACACTGTCTGATACTTTTGCATCAGCAAAGAGGGTCAGCTGAATTTCAAGCACTATAAAAATACAAACACATAGACCATTCAATAGTAAGTGCTGGCAAGGATGTGGAGAAATGAGAACCCCTGTGCATTGCTCTTAGGAGTGTAAAATGGTACATCCACTGTGGAAAACAGTTTGGTAGTTCTCTAAAAAATTAAACAGATTTACCATGATGCAGCAATTCCACTTCCGGGTATATACTCAAGAGAACTGAAAGCAGGGACTTGAATAGATATTTGTACACTCAAGTTCACAGCAGCATTATTCATAACAGCCAAAAGGCAGAAACCAAAGAGTCCACTGTCAGATGAATAAACAAAATATATTATCCATACAATGGAATGTAATTCAGCCTTAAAAAGGAACGAACTTCTGATACATACAATATAGATGAACCTTAAAAATATTATTCTAAGTGAGATAATCCAGACACAAATGGATAAATGTGTGATCCACTCACATGAGATTACCTATAATACTCAAATTCATTGAGACACAAAGTAGAATGATGGTTGCCAGGGTCTAGGAGAAGGGAGCAATGACAATTTATTATTTAACACATACAGAGTTTTAGTTTGGGATGACAGAAAAGTTCTGGAGATAGATAGTGATGATGGTCACACAACAATGTGATTGTCAAAAAGAGACATGTACCACAATGTTCACTGCAGCACGATTTATGGTGGCCAGGACATGGAAACAACCTAAACATCCACTGACAGATGAATGGATAAAGAAGATGCAGCATATATATATATATACAATGGAGTATTACTCAGATATAAAAAGAAACGAAATTGAGTTACTTGTAGTGAGGTGGATGGACCTAGAGTCTGTCATACAGAGTGAAGTCAGAAAGAGAAAAACAAATACCGTATGCTAACGCATATATATGGAGTCTAAAAAAAATGGTACTGATGAACCTAGTGGCAGGGCACAAATAAAGACACAGACATAGAGAATGGACTTGAGGACAAGGGGTGGGGGAGAAGCTGCGGTGAACTGAGAGTAGCATTGATGTATATACACTACCAAATGTAAAACAACTAGCTAGTGGGAAGCAGCAGCATAGCACAGGGAGATCTGCTTGGTGCTTTTCCATGACCTAAAGGGGTGGGACAGGGAGTGTGGGAGGCAGGCTCAAGAGGGAGGGGATATGGGGATATATGCATGCATATGGCTGATTCACTTTGTTGTACAACAGAAACTAAGACTGCACTGTGAAGCAATTATACTCCAATAAAGATGTATAAAAAATTTTTTTTAATAGAATAAAAAAAACCCCACAGTGTGAATGTACTCAATGCCAGGGGAACTGTACATCTTTAAATGGTTAAAATGGTAAATTTAATGTCATATATATTTCATCAAAATTTAAAAATTAAAAGGCAAAAATACATCCCATAAAGACATTCTAAGAAGCCAAATCCTAAAGCAAACTTTTTTTTTTTTTTTTGCGGTACACGGGCCTCTCTCTGTTGTGGCACACGGGCCTCTCTCTGTTGTGGCCTCTCCAGTTGTGGAGCACAGGCTCCGGACGCGCAGGCTCAGCGGCCATGGCTCACGGGCCCAGCCGCTCCGCGGCTTGTGGGATCTTCCCGGACCGGGGCACGAACCTGTGCCCCCTGCATCGGTAGGCAGACTCTCAACCACTGCGCCACCAGGGAAGCCCCTAAAGCAAATTTTTAAAAATTCTAATACTAAAAGAATTGTCTTTCTATGAATAGCATGCAAATTAGATGCCTATTAAAAAGTATCCCTTTTCAATTTGGTTAATTCTAGGTTTTAGTAAGAGACCAAATAATCAAATGAAACTAATATGAAAGGATGACTAAAAAATTAATGACTGGAAGCATAAATAGAAATTCTAAAAATAAATCTGTGTATATAAGTTAATTTACTAAAGACACCTGGGTGTTCCTTAACTGAAGGCCCAATATTAGAGAACATGCTGAGCTGTTAGCATGAAAAATCGTTTTGGCTAAAAATGTATGTAAATCTTTTCCCTTTTTTTTTTGTGGTACGCGGGCCCCCCACCGCTGCCGCCTCTCCCGTCGCGGAGCACAGGCTCCGGACGCGCAGGCCCAGCGGCCATGGCTCACGGGCCCAGCCACTCCACGGCACGTGGGATCCTCCCGGACCGGGGCAAGAACCCGCGTCCCCCGCATCAGCAGGCGGACTCCCAACCACTGCGCCACCAAGGAAGCCCCCTTTTCCCTATTATTAAAGATCATCAGGGAAGGGAGGAGGGGCAAGATACGGATAAGGGATTATAAGGTACCAACTACCATATTAAATAAATAAGCTACAAGGATATACTGTACAGCGCAGGAGAATATTGTCAATATTTTATAATAACTTTAAATGGAGTACAAGCTATAAAAATATTGAATCACTATGCTGTACAGCTGAAATTAATATAGTATTGTAAATCAACTAAATTTCAATTAAAAAAAAAAGAGGATGATTTCCCTATTATTAAAAACTGTGGGGCTTCCCTGGTGGCGCAGTGCTTGAGAGTCCGCCTGCCGATGCAGGAGACGCGGGTTCGTGCCCCGTTTCGGGAAGATCCCACATGCCGCGGAGCGGCTGGGCCCGTGAGCCATGGCCACTGAGCCTGCGCGTCCGGAGCCTGTGCTCCGCAAATGGGAGAGGCCACAACAGTGAGAGGCCCGCATAACGCAAGGAAAAAAAAAAAAAAAAAAACTGTGGGGCTTCCCTGGTGGCACAGTGGTTGAGAATCTGCCTGCCAATGCAGGGGACACGGATTCGAGCCCTGGTCTGGGAAGATCCCACACGCCGCGGAGCAAATGGGCCCGTGAGCCACAACTACTGAGCCTGCGCGTCTGGAGCCTGTTGTCCGCAACAAGAGAGACCGCGATAGTGAGAGGCCCGCGCACCGCGATGAAGAGTGGCTCCCGCTTCCCACAACTAGAGAAAGCCCTCGCGCAGAAACGAAGACCCAACACAGCCATAAATAAATAGACAGATAGATAAATAAATAAATAAATGAAACTGTGATCTAGCTCCACCATGTGTTAGCATGTGAATTAACTCCTAGGCTAGATTTGGGCATCAAAAACTAATGAAGTGGGCTTCCCTGGTGGCGCAGTGGTTGAGAGTCCGCCTACCGATGCAGAGGACGCGGATTCGTGCCCCGTTCCGGGAAGATCCCACATGCCGCGGAGCGGCTGGGCCCGTGAGCCATGGCCGCCGAGCCTGCGCATCCGGAGCCTGTGCTCAGCAACGGCAGAGGCCACAACAGTGAGAGGCCCGCGTACCGCAAAAAAAAAAAAAAAAACCTAATGAAGTATACATACTTAGGAAATAAAATTTTATAATAAAAAAACTGACACATCCCCGTATCTGTTAACAATAAGAATTTTGTTTCCCAAAACAGAAAAGGCAACAGTATCAAGCAAGAGAATGGTTAGATGATAGAAATTATTTTCCGTACAGCCTATGTCCTATTCTTTTCTCTTGGATAAATAAGTTTTAAGTAAACTTATAGTAAAATGTGGCTCAGTCAAAATGGACAAGCCGTATTATTTTTCCATAATAACCTTCACTTCCACAACTACTGAGCTCGCAGGCCTCAACTAGAGCCCACGTGCCACAACAGAGAACCCACACGCACCTCAATGAAAGATCCCACCTGCCTCAATGAAAATCCTACGTGCCACAACTGAGACCCGGTGCAGCGACAGATAGATAGGTAGGTAGAAAGAAAGAAAAAAAGAAAAGAAAAGAAAAGAGAAGAGAAGAGAAAAGAGAAGAGAAGAGAAGAGAAAAGAAAAGAAAAGAAAAGAAAGATCATGGGGAACTCCCTGGCGGTCCAGTGGTTAGGACTCCACGCTTTCACTGCCCAGGGTCAGGGTTCAATCCCTGGTCGGGGAACTAAGATCCCACACGCCACGGCCAAAAAAATAAAATAAAATAAAATAAAAATAAAGTGACCATGAAACAAAAATTTAAAGTACCTAAAACGGGACAGTTATGCTCTTTAGATCAAAAAGGAAAATGACCAAAATGATCATGCCCACCATAAAACAGTAAATATAAAAATGGTAGATCCCTTTTAATCTTTTTAAACACAGAGAAGGAAAAAAAACTGAACTGAGACAATTCAGAAGGTGAGCTCAGGGACTTCCCTGGTGGTCCAGTGGGTAAGACTCTGCACTCCCAATGCAGGGAGCCCAGGTTCGATCCCTGTTCGGGGAACTAGATCCCCCATGCATGCCTCAACTAAGAGTCTGCATGCCGCAATTAAGAGTCCGCATGCCACAATTTAAAAAAAAAAGACCCCACATGCTGCAACAAAGATCCTGTGTGCCGCAACTAAGATCTACTGCAGCCAAAACAAATAAAAATGAATAAATAAATATTAAAGAAACACACACACGCACTACAGGAAACTAACAACAACAAAAAAAGATGAG